GCTCCATCGCATCGTTTAAGCTGCGTTCACACTTCAAACAAGATCTTATGTAATATCGGCTGCCTTTCAATCACACGTTTCAACATTGAATTAGTTGCATAGTATAAGAGATGCGAGTAATGAATTTCAAAGATTTGCAAACATAATTTGAAATATGCTCTTGTGTTTTCCAATTCCCCATCCATAAGAGATTCATAAATCAGTCATTGAAGTTACTAGATACGTAGCATTAGAGTAAATAGATAGAAAACACTTTAGTTTATAATCTTTCAAAAAAATTGCAATGCATTAGATACTGAATAATAAACATTTATGTTTTGTTTTCTTGTCAAGCTTGTTATTAAAAAGAAAAATTATGATTACCTAAAAGAAAGGTGGCATTATGCCATAGAAAATGATTGATTCTAGAAATCAAAGAAAGTGTTGCAAATGTCTTAAAGATGATTTAACTGACTAAGAGCAGTTAACTTTCTAATTTTTGTTCAGAATGAACAACTTTGTTTGGATTGTCATTTTTAACAAATTTTTAAACGACTATAATTGATCATAATACATATCTAATGGTACCCCGTATCTTGAATATCTTGAGGCCGACAACCGTAGTCGCAAAAGTGTTGGTAGCAAAAGTGTTTACGAGTTAGGATAGATGAAAATGAAGCGCTTGTAATTTTTAACCCTTTTGACACGAGCAATATAGAAATCATGTTCTATTTATTTTACACAAGTTCTCAGGTCACGCTATTACATATTGCATTGCATTTAATTTTTGGAGTAACTGAGCACTGATTAACTCTATTTCTCATGGAATCAACTTTCTTTTACATTAAAACGTTGAAAAACATTATTTTTATTATTTCTGCTTTACAGCCGCAAAAAAAAGATCTATACTTCAGAATCTCTTCAGACTATTTTTTACAGTACAGATTCTTAGCAAGTAATCAGAGTATTTCGTAAGAATTTAATTTTGTATTGTGGAATGAAATTTTTTTAATACAATCTAATTAACCTTTTAATTATTTGTATAATCTATAATCTGTCTAGCTATCAGCTCCGCATAGTAGAATAGCTAACAATTAATTTTAATAGGTAATATTCTACAACAAATTTTCACTATTGATAAGATCTATAGAGTGAAATAATTCTACATTACTTTTATATGCTAATCTTCTTATATTCTTTACCTACAAAATGCCGCGAACAAAAATAAAATTCTTACTACAAGTTTTTTCTTCTGTCAATTAATACCGATATCTCCATTAATGCCGTCAAAAATCCCACCTTAGTCGTATCATTTATTTATTAGATTTTATATATAAGACATGACACCTGTTTACGTTTTATCAACCAATTACATAATGTCTCAATGAAAGGAACAAGATGAACATGTAACGTCCTACCGATAATGATATTGAATTAAATAATGTTTAGTCGATAATTAATGTATTATAGTAAAACCTCGTAGCATTAGATGGCGTGCACGCTCGCGCTAGTAATAAGAGTGGAGGGTATGAGCTAGCAACGCGCAAATTCTAAGAATCGCCGCAGGCAAAAATTCCAGAGTATAAAAAAAAAAAACAACAAAATTCCCGAAATCTACGTGCTGAATCAGCAGGATTTCAAGTATAAATAGAGGCGCGCCACGCGGAGAAAAGTCAGTCTGGTTTCGACCACGCTCAAGTACGGTTCGCACCACTCGCATACAGCTAACACTGTAGTAGTAGTACTGCAGCCAAGAGTTTTTTCAGCACTTGCATATCTAAGTATTGCAATAGCTGCAGAGAAGACCAGGGCAATTCTTTTGCAATGTTCTTTTACCAGTAACGAGTGCGGGTTTCTCTACTGTATGAGTGTGAGTACTCTACTCATGGTTCGCAACGTACATGTCCGGTCAAAATTCGGAGAAGATTTGGGACTGTGTGAGGGCTCATTCGAAAGAGGAAGGCTCAATGCAAGGGGCTCAGGTCATGGTTCAACGAGATTGTGTTGATATCTAATAATATGAGTGTCCAAAGTAGAGGAAAAATCGAAAAAATACACCCGCAGAATCCAAGTACATTTTAGGTCACTAAAAGAGTTTTGTGACTCAAACGATGACCTGAGCCCCCTGCATTGAACCTTCCTCTTTTGAATGAGCCCTTACCCAGCCTCAAATATTCTCATATAAGGACGAAAAACGAAAAATTCCGGACCCCTTTTTAGGCCCATTTTTGTCGGTAAGGTCACCTCGCTGCATTACCCGTGTCTACCCACGTAAGGGGGAATGAGCCCTCACCCAGCCTCAAATATTCTCATATAAGGACGAAAAACGAAAAATCCCAGACCCCTTTTTATGCCCATTTTTGCCGGTAAGGGCACCTCGCTGCATTACCCGTGTCTACCCCTTTAACCGCGCACCACACTAACCTATATTCCAAATAACACACGAGTCGCTTTCTGAGGGAACCACTCTCCTTGTATGTTAGTGCAGTATGTAACAGAGTCTCACTTTGGGACGTTACAAACAGGTAAACTCTACCAGTCATCACCGAACAAAATTCGTCGGCATTACAACCAATACAGTTACATACTAGTTCCCTTTGCAACTTTCCGCTTATTAATGTAAACGACCAGTAGTTACAACTTGATTAAACGTCTAATTTTATTATTACATGCCTGTCACTCTGCAACAGATGCATCACGCAAGAAAGAATATGGTAAAAACAAATCATAATCGATTTAACTGTAAAAAAGATCCACGTGCAGAAGCGATAAAATACACGGTAGAAATGAAAACCTGCATTCAAAAGACAGAGTCTACGATTAATCAAATGCCTGTTATTACCAACAGATTGTTAATTTCATGTTTGATCTTTATGTTTCCTGATAGAAAGTTCGTCGAGTGTGAAGGATGAACGTTACAGCTTATTTTCATATTCTTAGTCGACTGTGAAATTGAAGTCGACTAGAAACGGTCCCTAGGTAATTGATCTTCTTTCAGCATTTTTCAATCGTGAAGATCATGTCATTCGATAATAAACATTCTCTTCCTATTTTTTTATCTACTTTGACAAGTGTCTACTCGAATAAACATTCTTGTATTTATCAAATTCAAACCGAATTAAAAAAAAAATAATTAATGAACGAAAGTTGTAACATATTATGGTATATACCGGCATCCCACGAAACAGTATCAAGTTATGTCTCTAAAATAGTAGAAGATAGAAAAACATAGAAAAAAGCATTAGCAAACATTAAATGGTGACGCCTGGAGCATTTATATAATGCATATGTGAAAACATTTCAAACGTTTCAAGATCATCTTCATCTTATTAAATGAAATTTTATATTTTCTTAAATCTCATTTTATGCATTATCTTGTTATTCTCTATAAAAAGGTAATAAGACACTTGGCTCGAAAATTGATTAATTTAAAGTTTAAAAGATATCTTAGGGAGAAACTGTAAACTCCCCTGTCTCTCCTTCAAATATCTCTTGAATTAACAAATTTTCAATTTCTTTTTATCTGAATACTTTTTATAGAGAATACAAAAATACATCGATCATCGTCAAAAAAGTACATTGTTTTAATAAATTTTTTTTTTAATGGAACTTTGTTTACATAAGTCCATTCTATGGAACATTCTACGTTAAAAAAGTAAAAAAGTAACCAAATTTTTGTATGTAATATCCAATTTTTTAATTTAAGATACCTTATAAACTGTTAATTTTGTTGATATTAAATATTATTAAATTATACCCTATTGATGTATTAATGCATTACATGAGCTCAGCCATACATATCATGTATACGAAATCTAGTCATCTAGTCGTTATCTGCAAACCTTAAGCATCAAATTATTATGTCATAAATGCCATTTTAGCATACTTTTCTGTCATAAAATCGTAATAAGATGGTTCAAACGTAATCCAGATCCTAGGTATGCCTTTCGAAATCAGTCCTTCCTTGCTTTAACTATGCTATCAATTAGCCATTGTATATTAAGAATATTGATAAAATATTTATGAAGTCATTTTTAGGAAACCTTAAAGTTCAAATTCATGTTATTTTAAACTACTTTTATGTCATCAAATCTTGTCAGACATATGATCTTTTGAAATCTGCCATTTAATATGCAACAACCTACTATATCCGAGCTTTTAACATCTAACTTTTTGGACTATATTTTGGAATTCATTTTATTTTTATATATTCTACTAAATATTAATTACAATTTATAAATTAATAATTTTACAGAGTATGTAAACTCTGCCGTGAAATACCATTTGATTAATAATCTATTATTAGTTATAAAAAGAAACTTAAAATTGCAAAAAATTACGGCTGACAAAATGTTAAATATTCAAGCAATTTTTACTATAATATTATTTGTATTATACTTTATTTATTAGATTATGTAACATATTTTATTTATGTTTGTATTATCAACTGTATGTAAGTACTTACTTATGTACTGTTTACCGATCATAAGAAGTCCCATGAGAATAACGTAATCTGATTGGTCACACCCCACTTCAGCTCACACATACTTTCAGTCCTGACGTATGATTGGTCGAAGTGGTCACATCTCCTAATTAGGTTCGTGTAAAATTAGGGGATTAGGCGATGTGTGCATAATACCTCCACTTGTCCCTGTGCAGTCCCGCGTGACTTCTTGTGATCGTTGAACAATACATAGGCCGGTATTCACAGTCGCAACTTATTTCTAAGCTGGGCTTAAGCACATGCTTAAGACATCGGCTAGATTCACAGTCGCCGAATAAGTAACGTCTTAAGCCTCGTACTGACTTGGGCATTTTGCCCAAACGAATGCTCTCGGCAAACGAACGTGAAAGGGTCTAGCCGTATAAGCATAGTGAATCGGCCCCAGTAACAATTTCGGTTGATATTGATATCACATAATGCTTTTTGCCTAAACAACAATTGTGTGCAATTTCAACCCCCTACCCCCCCCCCCCCCCCCCCCCCCCCCCCCCCCCCCCCCCCCCCCCCTCGGCTGTTCGCGCAAATCTTTCTACCTAGGGTACCGTAAACCTTTGTATCTGGGTTCTATGCAGAAAGGTTCTTTCTACCGTAAACCAGTCGAAGTCAGAATGTCGACAGGAACAGATGTCACAATCACCAGTGCAGCGTATATTATTATGAACACAATAATTAAAAGAAAAAGAAGAAAAAAAATCAAGATAAACGATGGTGGATTAGTCAGATGTATAAAAATAGAGCAACCTCTAGTGGTGAAAAAGTAGTTAGAGATTTACAGATAGAAGCTAGTGGACATTTTAAAAATTTTGTGCGGATGTCATCGGAAGATTTTGAATTTTTAATAAACGCTATCGGTCCCAAAATTCAAAAAAACGACACCAGATTCAGAAAAAGCTGAAATGACGGTGAAAGAACTCTTAGCTATAACGCTAGGTTTTTTAGCAACGGGAGATTCATATACGAGCCTTCAGTATCTGTTTAAAGTATCCAAACAATTAATATCAAAAATTGTTCCGGATTTCGAAAATCAGTTTATGACGGTTCATCAGGCCATATTATAAACTGAGTTTTTCCGAAGGGTAAATTCGACAGCGGTCGACTAACGGTACGTGGAAATTTGTAACCGGCATAGTAAAATTGGTCGCACGAATATCCTTTGATGGACCGACAGCCGTCGGAAAGCGTTCGTTCGTGCCCAGGGCCTTCACGAACACATTAACGGGCCGTACTCACTTCAGCATTTTTGCCCGAAAGAACGTTTTCGGCGCACAAATGCATAGGTCAGTACGAGGCTTTAAGCATCAGCTTAAGCATTTGCTTAGAAAAGTAAATGCTTATCGGTGTAGATTCACAGTCGATGCTTAAGAAAGTCTTAGGCTCTTATGAATTCATAGTCGAATAAGTCCGCCTTATTTGTAGAAAACAAGTTCTTATTTGGCTTCATTGAGGTTATGTTTTTAAGTCGACGATATTGAGGACTTAAGCACGCGTTTGAAGGTGTTATTGTGCAGTGATGGGACGGGAGGGAGTAGGTTAGGGTACACGAATACGGTAAAAGAGATTAAAATTACCGATCCCTCCTGCGATGCAGCTGTTAATTTGTTTGCGGTATTATGCTACTGCAAGTTTTCAAGTAAGTCATATAAATATATCACTACTCCTAAAAGAAGTAGAAAAAAATAAAGATTATCTATATATGTACTGTAATTGTAGCTTATTCTGGGAGACACAATGAATGTTTCTCAGCCCACAGTCTCCCGCATAGTATTTAGGGTGAGTTCACTAATAGGCACTCTGATGACGGACTATATCAAGTTTCCCAGGGATCCAGACAATTCCACTCAAAATCGCAGGTTATTCAATAATTTGGGACAGGGAAACGGAGCTAGTGGTTTACCAGGTGTGGATTTTATATCATTATAACTTTTTCTATATGCACATATACATACATACATACATATACTATGTAATTGATTTACCAGGTGTGGATGGCGCTATTGATTGCACCCACATTAGATTAACAGCATCCAGGTTCAACAACATGGAAGAAATGTACAGAAATAGAAAAGGATATTTTTCATTGAATGTTCAGGTATGTCATTAAGTTATTTATTTTACCCAATATTCATTGAAATGAACCATATTAATATTTTACTCGACTGATTGATGCACAAATTAACATTAAATTATTCGATCGACTCAGGTACAATGAAATCCAGATCAGGACCCAACAGATAGTAGAAAGAACATTCGGTGTTTGGAAGCGCCGTTTTCCATGTCTTACAAGGGGTTTAACAACGAAGTTCTTATGTTCCACAACAACGGTAGTTGCATGTGCTGTGTTGCATAATTTAGCCCTAATTTTCAATGACATTCTTGTAGAAGAAGATGAAATTGAAAACCAAAATGAAGATGGAGAAGAATTATTAGGAAACGTGGGAAATGTTAATGGCATTGATGGATTTGCTACACGTGAAGCACTCGTTGCTTGTACGTTTCATTGAGTAATTGTGTCAAATGAAATGTAATAAGGGGTTTTTTATGCCTATCGAGCCAATAAATAATCATTATTCTTTCGGCTCAAATTGGTTTAATATATTGATTAAAATACCCTCATCCTCAGTCATATCACAACCTATACCTTGAATCAATAATTTCAGTCGTAAGTTTAATTTTGTGTTATTTTGTGTTCGTATTTCAGAATGAAACTTTAAATATAAGAGATTTTTATAACGTATGTGATAACATTAATTATAAAATTGTTCTTAATAAATTTGGCTTTTTTTATTAATAAATTTGGCTCTGTCTATCGCTCGCTCAATTATTTGAATTCAATTCAAAAACCGCGTCACTAAGTAAGAAATAATGCTACATTTTCAAGAATCATTTTCATTGGTTGTTACAGTAGAAAATCGACGGAAATAGCCGAATGTCAAATAAGCATTGCTTAAGCATGGACTTCACTAAGCAAAGCTTAAGCATCGCTTCCTTAACTAAGTCGGTCTTATTCTCCGACTCTGAATACATAGCGACTTAAGCATTGCTTATTCGAATAAGACGATCTTAGTCAAGAACGTCTTAAGTCCTTGCTTAAGTTGCGACTCTGAATACGGCCCATAGCACAGCCGACTCTAGTACTAGCCATGCTGAACAACGTGGCAACACCGCTCACGTGACAATCGGGAGTCCTATTTTCAAAAACAGAGTCCTGTGCTCGGAATAGTAATTAACGTTTTTTTTAATTAAAAGCTGTAGTAATATACACTATTTTGTGTTAATTATGTATAAACAATATATAAACGTTGCAACTATGGCAAATAGAAGTGATGTGGTAGTATAAAATTGTTATAAATGTGATATATATTTTGTGTACTCTCAAAGTAGTTTGGTGTTGTGAAGCATGATATTTGAAATATTTACAGTGGTTTCAAGAAAATTTAGGTATGAAGCAAAATGAAACCATCTTTGGATCAAATTGAAACATTTAAGAATTGATAAACGTGTATATAAGTTAATAAAAACCTTGAAACAAGCGAAATTATTGGAACGAAACCAAAGAGGTTATGTGAAGTCCAGAGAGTAGTCGGGAGTCTGACGACGTTGATTGGCTGAGTCTGGGAGTCCGGGAGGCAGATAGAGTAGGGTAGGTGTTGATATATTCAGACCGGACTCCCGCGGTGTTGCCATTTTTACTTCAGCACGGCTAGTACTAGAGTCGGCTGTGATAGTGTCCGTTCGTCTAGTGAAAAAGCACTAAAGGGGAAGGTGCCCCTATCACCGGGTCACGCGCGAGCGCGCAGCCATTATGCCTCGTTCGCATGAGAAATACCTTCGTATTTCAGGAGAAAAGAAATTTTTTCAAATAAATGCTTAATCGAAGAAGTGAGGCGGTCCATTCCTCAACAAGTAAAATATATAATCAGCACCATTAAAAACTCGGTTGTCGAAATAATTAATTGCGTCGAGCCTCGGCCGGCAAAGGTGGCTCTCTCCGCCCTATAGGATGGTGCACGAAACTGCGAACACAGACCGTGATTCCATACCGAACCGGAAGCTGCATAAGAGCCTTTCTCTCGCACTGTAACTTCTGTCCTTGTTTAGCCCCATTTCACTCCGACTCAAGGCTCGTCAAATGCCATCCTTGTCGTTTCGCTTACGTCGAGATAGCGCGAAACCGACTCTCGTTCGAATGCCTCGATTATTTTTTAGCCACGTACGAAACTTCTGGTGTTTCAAATTTCATAATAGCTCAGAGTTTGGGAGACAAGGTAATTAGAGGCTTTTGGGAACAATCCTCTTTACAAAATGCAAATACGAGTAACTTAATGGGAGATCTTCTTCTTTCTTATATCAGTTTCTTTAACACAGAAGTAAATGCAAGCATTGAATAACAGCGAGTAAAATGAAACAGTTTCATCTTATTCGTTTTTCGTTTTTTTCTTTTTCTCCGAAATCGTTAGAGGTATCAAAAGACTTTATAAGCAACAGTTATTCACCTCAAGGTATAGTATTTTTTATGCCTCGACAAAAAATTGTTTAAACAATTACAAAAAGTCTCTTTAAATTTTGAAACAATTGAAAAACGCGGCGACAAATTTCGCGGGAACATGACGTCACGATATCTTTAGTTGTATATGTTAAAATCAGTGATACAAGGTATGCATGTAGAGAAGCGACATCAGCGCCGCCTGGATTTTCCGAGTTAAAATTTATATCAAATTCACAAGAGTGGAGCTTGGAGGGCCTGACGGACGCTATGATTGATGTTGTACGTTGGTCACGTGCGTTTTAAATTCTGTGTTTATTTATAATATTTTAATTTTTATTTAAAATTTATGATTTGTGCAATGGGGAAGACATTGTGAAAAGAATATCCAGAGTCCTGGTTATTCTTACTTGCGTATTACATGAATTATTTACTCCCCAGTGTTTCATTTAATTGAAAGATGAATGAAAGATGAATGAAAGATCTACAATAATGTTTACTTCTATAATGAATTATTGAAAACTGTTTTCAGAAACATGATTTATAATTACGTGATATTTATATAATATTTGAATAATGAATTTTAATTGTACATATACGATTATTTGATTTGTAAATAAGAAAATGATAAAATAATTTATAATGAATCATGATCAAGAATTATAGAAAGATGTATACATGTATTATTGTTTAATTATGAATGAAAATTATATGGATCGTATTAAAAAATCCATGTACGGTGATTACACAGAATGAAATAATTAACTTAGTATTAGATGTATATAATGTACAATATATCATTAAATTAAAAATAACAAAATGCAATCCATTAATAAAATGCCATCCTTCGGGGATAATACACTATCTGCCTGTATTCAGGCTGAAATGAAAAATATGGATAATATTTATAATGGCAGTGATATGGAAAAATATTTTAAAGACAATATGTCTGGTTCTAAACCAATGAATAATTCAAACAGTATTGATAAAAAAAGTCACCCAGAATTAAATAGTGCATTATGTAATTCAATGAATATTAAATCTACTTTGAATCAGAATAATTCAAAATGTGAAGAATCTAAAACTAGAAATGCTCTAAAATTCAGGGCTAATAGCAAAGCTAATACATCTAGCAGATCAAAAATTAGAAGTACTACTTGTGTAACAAGAAACTGTAGTTCATCTAAAGTTGGTAAAGAAGATGTAAACATTAATTACTTGAAAAGCGATATTTCTTCAGAAACAAATACATTATTAAAACAATGTAATAAATCTGAATTATCAACTTTGCATACTAATAGCAACAGTATTAAAATTAGTGGTTCATCCAGAACAACAAATAATACAAACAATTTAATATTGTCTAACAGTAGGGGTACAATAAATATTGGAGATAAGTCATCAATCATAGTTCCTTCTGTTTCTATTTTTAATACTCAAGATAGATGCAAGTTAGCTTCTTGGGGCTTACCACCAAATATTCTTCAGGTAATATTAACTATTCTGGCACAACTATCTTGATATAAACTACTTGTACTAAAAGTGATTCATGTATGTTACAGAAATATGAAGCACGAGGAATAACAAATATGTTTCCTTGGCAAGTGGAATGTTTATCAAATCATAAAGTTATTGAAGAGCAATGCAATCTTGTATATTCTGCTCCAACATCAGCTGGAAAAACCTTAGTAGCAGAGATTCTTATGATAAAAACTATATTAGAAAGACACAAGAAAGCAATTTTTATCTTGCCATTTGTTTCTGTTGTTAGAGAAAAAATGTATTATTTTCAAGTAAGATTTATTTGAATAAATCAGTCTAACAACAATTACATATATGTGTTCTAATTTTATAGTTATAATTTTATAGGATTTGCTGTCTGACAGTGGAATTCGTGTACAAGGATTTATGGGTGGTATTGCTCCTCCAGGAGGATTTTCTGCTACTCATGTTGCAATAGCAACAATTGAAAAAGCCAATTCCTTAATAAATCGTTTAATGGAAGAAAATGAGATAGTTAATTTAGGAGCTGTAGTAATAGATGAATTACATCTTGTTGGTGATCCGCATCGTGGATATCTTCTTGAATTACTGTTGACTAAACTAAAATATATGACTGTTAGGTAATTAAAACATACTTATTGTTATTAGAAAAAAAAAATTCTGATTTGGCCTTTTTACAGGGATGAAAATATAAATATACAATTGATTGGTATGTCTGCTACACTTCCAAACTTATCTCTTTTAGCCAGCTGGTTGAATGCTGAACTGTATAAAACGGAATTTAGACCTGTCCCTTTGAATGAACAGTGCAAAGTATTACACAATATAAAAAAATATATTACATTCATATACTTCAAATTTGTATAACAAAAATTTTTATGATTCTAGATAGGTAAAAATATTTATGACAATAAATTACATCTAATCAGAACTCTAATATCAATGCCAGAACTAACAACGGATTCAGGAGATATTATTCACTTATGTATCGAAACAATATCTGATGGGCATAGTGTACTAATTTTTTGTCCAACAAAAAATTGGTGTGAAAAACTAGCTGAACAAATAGCTGTTGCGTTCTATAAATTAGGTTTGTTTAATAAATTAATGCGGTTTATTATTGTGAAAATATGTAAGTAACCTTGTATCTTTTAGGCCGAGGCGATACAAAACTTGCAGAAATTTTAAGACATCAGTTAGATTCTACATTAATTTCCGAGACATTGGAGCAATTAAAACGCAGTCCAATAGGTTTGGATAATGTACTAAACAACACAGTTTCATTCGGAACAGCTTTCCATCATGCTGGACTTACTATGGATGAGCGTGATATCATAGAAGGAGCTTTTAGGTATTTATTTGAATATGTATAAACTTAAAAATGTATAACTTGATATTAATATATTCAGATCAGGATCGTTAAGAGTTCTTGTTGCTACATCAACTTTAAGTAGTGGAGTAAATTTACCAGCAAGAAGAGTAATTATCAGATCTCCAATGTTTAATGGGAAACTATTAGATAGTCTTACCTACAGACAAATGATAGGGCGTTCAGGTAGAATGGGAAAAGACACAGCAGGTGAGATAAAACAATAC